GACTTTAATTGCAATTTTGAGGTCGTGAGGTACTGAGGTTGGACTGATTTTTAATTTATTTATTTATTCAATTTTTATTTTTCTGTTCTCACGTAAATTCATAATGTGACCTGCGAGTGTGTAGTGACATTTGTTTTTCAATTCAGAAAATACTGTGCATTTTACAATCTTAGCCCCTGAACTTATAACTTTTTCCAACTACAACTTGGAATTATAGCCTTTATATTAAGGATGACCATGGGTCGGTACGATTCGGAGATTGAGAAATCTCTGGAATCATACCAAATTCAAGAATCACTAAATTCGATCTCCGAAACCTTACCAAAAATCGAGATTGTTCGATTCGGATATTGTCAACTTTCAATTCGGAATTCGGGACTATTAGAACGGTTCGATTTGATATGGTTCGGTTCAGATCTTCGGATATTTTTTTGAATGACTACCTATTTATATTTTAATTTTTATATCTTAAAAAAAAACTAACATTCATCAATATTTCATCATATTGAAGATATTTATTTTGAAATCAACTTTAGAAGTAAATCTTAATTTTAATTATTTAATTTTTATATGCTTTAAAAAGACCAACATTCATCAGTACATCATCATATTAAAGATTTTATTTTGAAATCTACTGTAGAAATAACTCTAAATTTTAATTAAGACTAAATTTGTACAACTAATATCAACAATTTAAAATTCAAATAAAATACAATATAGTGTTTTCTTAAAAAAAAATATTCTTTAACCTACCATGTTTTTATGTCGTTGGAAAAAAAAAAAAAACCTACCATGTTAAATAATTTTTTTATAACAAGAAAAATTCAATTGTAGATCAAGTATTGTTAAAAATGAAATTTAAGTGAATCTTAATTGTTAGTACTATATTTTATTTGCATTTTAAATATTCTCAAATTATAAAAGATCATAGTTGACATAAATTATATTGATAACACACATCTAATGTTATAATTCGGTTCTTATTTTCGATTATTCGGTTCGATACGGTATGAGACAGTTCGGTTCGGTTCTCGATACGGATATTTATAAAATCTCCAGAACCGTACCAATTATTTTTTCGGTTCAGAGAAGGTCAAACGGTCCATGGTTATTTTTTGGTTCAGGGTGATTTCGATTCGATTGTCGTAACGGTTCGGAATTCTCCGAGTCTCATGTTTAACCCTACTTTTTTTTCTAGATAACAACACCGCGAGAAAAGTAGAGGTTAAGGCCGAACTCCCAACCTATGTATGAAAATGGCCCTACTTTATATAATATTAATACATTACCATTTTAGAAACTTCGTAGCTAAATGTTAAAACTATCAATAGTACTTATGGGCCAGAGTCTAGAATATAGATAAATAAAAAAGTTTACTGTACCGAAAGTGCGATGTGAAACGCTTATAAAATCATTTATACGGCGTCAGTTAAAATTTCTACACAACATTTCGAGGGTAAAAAAATTTAAAACCCTCACCTTCACATGACCAAGTTGCAGTTTAAATCTTGGTATTGTGATTCTCGGGAAATGGAGATTTCGATATTTCGATGTACATGAATAATTAGAAAAAATTGTTTCACATTCTCTCTTGTCTAATTAAAAGCATTTAAAGCACATTAAATGTGTTAATTATACTTTCAACTTATCGGGACATTTTCTTAATTTTGAATTAATATCAAGGTTTTCAAAATCGATTCGGTTAATCTACCGGTTCAATAGTTCACTGGTCGGATTAATGGTTGAATCGGTCGAAACATTTTAATTAATATATAATTTTTATTTAATTTGTACGTATAATATATAATTTTATACTTCCTCTTATTTTTATTATTTGTCACTCTGGCTTAATTGATCATTGATTAAATAAATGTCGTTTTGACTATTTTGTTTATATTTTTACATTTTTAACCCTCTATCTAATATACAGTGTCTCTTCATATTCTATCTCCATCGTTTCTCATCACATCCATTAAATAGGGTTAATATTGGCAAGAAAAAAAATTCTCAAGACGACAAATAATAAAAATAGGAGGGAGTATATTTTTATCATTAATTTTTAGTGTATAATGATTTTTTTAAATATATAAAGGAAAAGTAAATAAATAATCGTGCATATTATAATTATTTTAGCTAACATGCTTGATTCCAAGTGTAGGTTTATAATCAATATGTATTATTTTACTTTTTTTCAATCTTTTGATGGTTTGGGCATGACAATATTCTTTAGGCTTAATTGTAAATAAAACCATGACATTTTCGAAAATTGCAATTATATGCATCATTTTTAAACTTGACAAATATATACACCACTTTTACAATTTTTTGCAATTGTATGCATCGGGCCCAATTTTGGACTTTTATTAACGACGTGGAGACATGGCTGCTGATATGGCGCTGACATGGAGATAAAAAATAGGCTTAATTGCAAATAAAACCATGACCTTTTGGAAAATTACAATTATATGCATCACTTTTGAGCTTGGCAAACATATAAAACCATGACTTTTTCGAAATAAAACTAGTTTTATAATAATTAAAATATAATAAAATAAATTGTATATATTAAATAAAAAATAAATTAAAATAAAGTAAGATCAAATTTATTACAATACAATGCATTAAAATTAAATTGCATTTAAATATATTTATATATTTCTTATTTTATTAAAATAAAACTAGTTTTATAAATTTGAAAATGAAAAATAATTATGATAAAATTAAATTAAAAAATAATCTAGATTAAAGTACACCAGTTAAAATAAAATAAAAATAATATAATATAATTAAATAAAGTATAAAAATGGTAAATTAAAATAAAATAAATAATAAAATAAATCAAATAACTTATTATGAAATAATATATTAAAATAAATAAAAATCCTAAATGAAAATAATAAAATTAAAAATATTATTTCATTATAATATTTTTAATATAATATTAATAAATAATTTGTTAAAATAATATCAAAAGATTTAATAAAATATTTATTAGAATAATCTCATGTAATTTAATAAATGAATATAATAAAATAAAAATATATAATTTGATATTATTATAATAAATAGTTTATTAAATTATTTGAGATTATTGTAATAAATATTTTATTATATTATTTATTAAAAATAATATAGTGAAATAAATTTTTTATTTATTATATTCATTTATGATTTTTATTAATTTTAATTTATTATTTCATAATAAGTTATTTGATTTATTATTTTATTTATTTCATTTTACTTTACTATTTTTTATACTTTATTATCTTATATTATCTTATTTCTTATTTTATTTTAATAAATAAAAATTTAGTTTAATTTTAATGTACTCTAGTATGATAAATTTTATCTTACTTTATTTTATTTTTTTCAATTAATATGTATTATTTATTTATTATATTTTAATTATTATAACTTTATATCTTATTAATATAATTAAATAAAATTTATATTATCTTTTAATTTTAAGTTGATTGTTTATACGATATGTCTATATATATTAAGCGCTATGAAATTAGACATACAAGTTATATTGGTGTAGTGGTAATGGTTCCAATTTAAAACCACAAGGGCACAGGTTTAAATCCTAAGCTTGTTTTATTTTTCGAAAAGGTTATGGTTTTATATATTTGTCAAGTTTAAAAATGATGCATATAATTAAATTTTTCGAAAATGTCATGGTTTTATTTGCAATTAAGCCTATTTTTTATCCCAATGTCAGCGCCATATCAGCAGCCATGTCAGCGGAAAATTGCCATGCCAGCAGAAAATCTCCACGTCAGCAATAAAAGCCCGAAATTGGGCTCGATGCATACAATTGCAAAAAATTGTAAAAGTGGTGTATATATTTGTCAAGTTTAAAAGTGATGCATATAATTGCAATTTTCGAAAAGGTCATGGTTTTATTTGCAATTAAGCCTATTCTTTATGAGCTTTTCAAGAATTTATGTACTTTTAAAAGTAAAGCTCAATAAGGCAAAATGTCCAATAATTTCAAGCATTAACAAAAGAATTAAGCTAACAAATGTGTCAGTTACACGACCCAAAAAAGTTAGCTGCAATTGTTTGTAAACCAAGGCCCAAACGGCCCAAACCACTTATTTACTTGTGATTTGTGGTATCCCACATCGGAATCACAAATGAAAATTCTCAGCTATTTAAATGATTGTTGTATCTACCACATTCAAAGCGCAATACAGAGCCGCTGGGCCGCGCTGACTGCTACCGGTTTACCTGTTTTACTAGTTTTTAACCGGTTTTGCTCCCTAGCGGTTCCATGCCTCAAATCAGACCGGTTACTGGTCGGTTCCTGGTTCAACCGGTAGAACCGGCCAGTCCGGTCCTGTTTTGGTAACCTTGATTAATAGCACGATTTTGGCATCCCTCATTGCTATATAATCTTTGCTTGAGGGATGAGTCGCGCTCCCATTAGAATGGTGCTCAATGATCTAATGGCTAAAAAAAACTAAAATTATATCTTCATTAAGGGTAATTTGGACATTACCATTACACTCATCACCATATCACCATGGCACATCATCATCTCCGCACATACAACACACGCATGCACATGCCACACATACACACACAAATAACACAAGCACACACACAACACATCTTTTCTCTTACAAACACATACACTACACACACAATACTCACACACGCACACACACACACACGGCTGAGACACCTCCAACCACCACCTACCTAGCCGCCGACCGCCAGCCACCAGCCACCGCCGTGATGTATCGCCGCCATACAACAGCTGCATCCACCTAGATCTGCCACAGTCATCACCGTTTTCCACCTCGCCGAACACTTTTGAGTCCGCCCCTCACCCTCATCACGAGTCTCCTCTTCATGGTGACCGTC